TAGGGGTAGTATGATAAGTAGTCATAGTAGTGATATTAGTAGTCATGTAGTGATATTAATAGTCATGTAAGCAGTAGAAATAGTTCGAGAATAGGAGAAGTCAAAGAAGTGGAGCTAGTGGTAGAAGTAGTAGTAGCAGTAGAGAAAGTAGAAATAGTAGCAATAGTAGTTGAGGTAGAAGTCAAAGTACTAGTTTAATTGATATTAGCAGTAGTTGTAGTAGAAGAAGTGGGATTTTGTTTAAGGGGTGAATAATGCATGAATACTAAAACTATCTTAAGCAGGGAAAATTTTGATAATTAAAAATCCTCAAGTATTAGAAAGTTTTTAAGTATCAGAAAGGTTTGAATAAGTTTTACTTTGTTCAAATAATTGAGGAATGCATTATTATGCATTATATATTATATATTATTACACAATTGAGAGAGGCATTGAACAATATTTCCAAAGACTCACAGGAGAAGCGTGAAACTAGAAGCGAGGCCTCTGCACTCTGTGGCAAGCTGGACACCCTAGAGATAGCTTTCATGGCACGCTTTTGGGATACAATACTGCATACTTACATACCTACATCCATACAATACTTGCAAACTCCTGGCCCCGGGGCCCAGACCCCCCATAATCCAGCCCTTGTCATTTGGAGTAACTGGAATCCCATATTTTCTTAAAAATTCTGTGTATGACAAATTTCCATCTCTATTTAACAATTGTGTCACCATCAAGATACCATTTTCACCCAGCCATCAAAATAAATAGATTTATTCTTATATTTGATATATCTGTTATTCCAAATTAAATATTTGTGAGGAGAAAAGTTGTGTTTGTAGACTAACATCCATGCTAAAAACACTTGTCTGTGAAAACTAGATAACTGAGCGGGAATTTTGTTCAGGTCAAAGTCACACTTCAATAGAAAATCAATACCTCCAACATTTTTACATATCAAATTTGGAATAATATACCACATTTTTTTCCTAACCAACCACATAGTTTTTTAGCTATTTAATCTTTAATATAGTGTTTGAGGAGTTAAAGTCAAGAACATTGAGCCCACCTTGAGAACACGGGTTACACAAGACACCCTTTTTAAGATAATGAGGTTTGTTTCTCCAAATAAAATTAAGCAACTTCGAATCAACTTGTTTAATTAATGAGGAACATCCAATGCCTGGGCACCATATATGAGCCGTGATAAGCCTTTGCTTTTTGATAACACAACACGCCCATATAATGATAGATCTTGTCCCAGCCAGCTGTTGAATTTTTTACTCATCTTCTCTGTTAGTGGAATAAAATTTAATTTGGCTCTTTCTTCTTGATTTTTGCAAATTTTAGTGCCTAGGTATGTTACCACATCTTTCACCGGAATCTCACATATTTCAGTTAAATTGGCGGGTTTGTCCTTTAAAGGAAAAAGGTCACATTTCTTGACATTAATTCTCAAACCTGATACATGAGAGAAGACATTCAGACATTCTAAGGCTTTTTTCACTTCACATTCGTTTTGTAGAAAGATTGTTGTGTCATCTGCCAGTTGACAGCGCTTCAACTCCTCTCCATCCAATTCTATACCTCTAAAGTGATATTCTTAATATATAACGCCATCGTTTGCATAATTAATAAAAAGAGAAAGGGGGCCATAGGATCTCCTTGTTTAATTCCTCTATCGATATTGAATCTAGGTGTGGTCCCATATGGTAACTTTATTGAACTATTACAACCCACATATAAAGTCTGAACCGCTCGTTTAAAATAATCACCAAATCCAAAGAAATCCAATGTATTGAACAAAAAGGTATGTCCGACCGTGTCAAAAGCTTTATAAAAATCCACTAACAAAATTAAACTATTATCAGGGAGTAATTCATTATAATCAATTAGGTCTAGAATGAGGCGAATGTAATTAGAAATATGTCTTCCTTTCATAAAACCTGACTGACAGTCATCAATGATTGTATCAAGGCAGGGCTTTAGTTTAGTCTCTGAGATAATATAAAAGACAATAATTTAGCGTCGTTATTTATCAGGGTTATTGGTCTCCAATTTTCAATTTTTAAAGCATCTTTACCTGGCTTTGGGAGTAGAGAAATAAGACCTTGAGACATAGTTGCAGGCATCCTTCCCAAATCAATTGCCTCCTTGAAAACTCCTAAAAGAAATTCTGAAACGTCTTCCTGAAATACTTTATAGAATTCACCAGTTTAACCATCGTTACCTGGTGACTTATTGTCTTTTAATTTAGAGATGCATAATTTAATTTCATATAATGTGATCTTTCCATCACACATCTTTTTAGATTCCTCACCTATAGATTTTGCATTTTGCTTAATAAATGAGAAAAAATCTGTATCATCAACATAACCATTTCTTTTATACAGTAATTCATAAAATTTTGTAATAAAATGCTTGATCTCGTTGGGCTCTTCTGTAATCCGGTCATTAATATTCAACTTAACCAAGGAGGACATTTCAACAGTTCTTTTTTCCAGATTGAAGAAGTATTCTGTGTTCTTCTCCCCCTCTTCTAACCATTTTCTCCTCGATCTTACAAAGGCCCCTCTCGCCTTTTCTTCATATATGAGGTCCAATTGTAGGTGAAACATGTTCAAATTATCCTTGTCTTGATTACCCAAATTTTCCTTACCATGTATTGCAATAATTTCTTAAATAATATTATCTTCTTTTACCCTTTTATTTTTTGCAATTTCTTTACTTCTCTGAATAGCCATTTTCCAAATGTCATATTTCATATATTCCCATTGCCCACCATAGGAATTCAGATTTTTAGCTTTGTTCCAGCAGTCCTTAATACACAATCTGACATTATTCAAAAACTTACCATCTTTTAGGAGCATATTGTTTAATTTCCAGTAGCAAAATTTTGGTTTGCTTCCTCCCACTGTGTCACTCAAGTTTATTGATATATAAATTAGGTTGTGGTCTGTGAAGACTGATGGTTCAATTTTTACATCCAGAATTTGGTTTTCTAAATCTCTAGATACCAACCAAAAATCAATCCTTGACTGTCTAGACCTATCTTTAGTGCACCACGTAAATTGCATTATATCTGGATTCCTGTGTCTCCATATGTCAAAACAATTCAAATTTAAACAGAGGTTGTCCACTTCAGCAGTATAATTAGCTCTTGTAAGTCTTGGTGGAGTACAGTCTATTAAAGGGTCTCTTATAGAGTTCCAGTCTCCTCCTAAAATGATCTTTGCATTAGGAAATGTACTTATTAAATTGGATATCTCCTCTTCAAACTCCCAAAACAGTGCTCTATTCTGTAAACTATTGTTTGTAGCATAAATGTTACCCATGATGAATACAATGTCACTTTTCTCCAACACTAAAATTACCCATCTTCCATATTCATGTGCTTTACTTTTATTACCACTAAATTGTCCTCTCAAGATTGCCACACCTGCGGATGTATTAGATCCGTATGACATCCAAATATTATCACCCCATTGAGTCTTCCAAAAATTGTAATCCAATTTTATTGCATGAGTTTCATGTAAAAGGTAAAAATCAGCCTTAAGTCTCTTACAAAACAAAAAGATTGCTTTTCTTTTCAATATATCTCTGTTACCCCAAACATTAATTGAACACACTGATAAAGACACTTTCCTTCAAATGAAACTGAAAAATAAGAAAAAAACTAAAAAGTGTCCGCCTGAAAACTAAGAAAACATGTAGGCTACCATAAAGATAAATGTCGATCCTAACATATCCAAAATACAGCCAGATGTTGCTGCACAAGATATTGCATTAGTTCAAACCATACTTAACTGTCGGCATAATGCTGATCTTCATACCTTTAGCTTTCTCCCGTCGATTATGGCTCTGGCTCCAATAAAGAAGGCTTTCTTCCCCTCTTTACGTGCCGCCTCGATTTGGGGCCACAAACTGTTTCGAGTCTCTTTGTCCTTCGCAGTCAAGTCTTCTCCAAACCTCAGCTTCCTGGATGCAAGGTACTCGGATCCCTTGGCATTCTTCCAGATGGACTCCTTGACTGCTCTGGATGAGAATCTGATGATCACAGGACACATCCTCTCTCCATCTCTCCGTCCGATCCTGTGGATGATGTCGATGTGGAGCTGCAGATGGTCACCAAGGTCTGGAGCAATGGCTCGGTAGATCTTCACCGCACATTGTTTGAGGTTTTCTCCCTCCTGTTCTTTTAGAGCGTACAACCTCAGGTGTTGTTTTCCTTGACGATGACGTTGACGAAATTTTTTCTGCGTAGCCTCGGTGGGCTAAAGTTAGCTTTGTTAATAAAAGCAAGCCAATGTCGATTAATTTAGTTTGTTATGAATGAAACCTTAATGGATTTCTGGTTTGGCAGTAAATGGAATACTTTGGTGTGTGTGATGCATGGTGAGCTTGTATATCTGCAATTTACTGAGCTTTACAACAGTATGCTATAAGTATAAATGAGGCTTTAGTTGACAGTATTGGCTATATCATTAAAACGAAACTAAGCAAATGTTGTTGTTATCCAATATATATAATTTATCATACTGTCAGCACAACCATGTTAAAATTATATAATAATACATACTGTTAAGTCATGTCTGTCTTCTTCAGGCATTTTTAGGTCTACTACTGTGCACTAAGTTTTATTTACATTTTTCATCCCCGGTATGCCCCCCACCCAATCCCATATTCAGATCTGCATCCAAGTATAGTTTGGACTCAAAAGAACAAATGGTTAAAGAAAACGTAATTGCTGCTTGGACTGGACTCACAGGTCTACCAGCCACAACAGTTGAGGATGAAGATTTCATCCTTATAATAGAGACCTTTGATAAGAGGCTGACAATACCCAATAGAACAAAAGTGAACAATCTGATTGACAAGCTGTACAATGACGAAAAACAAAAATTCAAAGCAAGACTCACCACAGCATGCCAAAAAACCATTGGGCTGGACATATGGTCCAAAAAAGGACACACAGTGTCATTTCTGGCAATTAGTGCATGCTATTTTTGCACGCAGGAGAACAAAGCACAGCACATAATGTTACCGCTTGATCAGATCAACCACCCACACACTGCAGAGTGTATAAAAAAATGTGTTGAAAAATGCACAGAGGACTGAGAAATACCTCAACACAAAATTCTGACCACCATAACTGACAACGGAAGCAACATGGTTGCAGTATTCAAAACTACTGAACAAGAGCCCAGCAGCTTAGATAATGACGCAGCTGAATCCATGGAGAGTGACTCTGAAGACTCTGAGGTGGCCAGAGCAGAACAGAGGTAAATTATTTCAGTTTAGCAAATTAGATTGTCTGTCAGATTTCAGCTGTGTGTGTGCAACTGTCTATACATTATTAATTGTATTACATGGTGGTGTTACATAATTTTCCACAGAAGAATAATTATTTCCTCTCCCTCTCTCTGTGTTCTTGTCTTTTATATCTAGGTATGGAGCCATATGTTGGACCCCCTGTGTTGTGCACACCCTGCAACTCGTGGTGAAGATGATCCAGGAAGAAGCAAGTGTCAAACGAATACTGGACATAGTCAGAGTGCTCGTCAGGCTCTTCGCAATTCATCAAAGGCAACTGAGAAGCTGCTGAAGGAGTGTCAACTAACTCTGGTCAAAGACTGCCCCACAAGATGGTCCAGCACATACCTGATGATAGACAGGCTTCTTGAAGTCAAGGAGTCTGTTGTCAAGGTTGCTGAGGAGATGGCCTGGGCCTATCTCCTGCCAAGTGAGTGGCTGAAGCGGACCGCTATTAGAGACTTATTCCTCCCCTTCGCTGAGCATACCCAGATGCTCCAAAGCGACACACAGTCGTTATCGCTTGTGGTGCCTGCCCTCCTGGACCTGCATGTTCACCTCTTTGACTTCCTCCTTGCCCAGGGTTCTAGCTTCAAGGACCTTGGCTCCCTGGCAAAGGAAATGAAGGCAAACAAGGACCAGCGTTTCAGCTGCTTTCTTGATCACACCAACTCACAGTTCTCACCCCTCACTGCTGCTGCATGCTTCCTTGACCCGACAGTCGCCCTTGGAGCACTCCTTGCCAACGATGATGAGCACATTCAGGAGCTTCTAAGCAAAGCCGAAGATTACAATGCTCAGTTGGTGCCACCAGTCATACAGGAGGAGGACGGGGAGTCAGAGGACGTAGAGGAAGCATCAAAAGAGGTACCAGGACCAGAGGAAGTGTTCGAGGTTCAGATTCTTGTCAAAAACAAACCAGCCATTCAGACCGACTACCCTCCCAAAGCCATGAGTCAGGCAGGAAATAAAGAGGTTCAAGGAGAAGCTATCACAGCCCCATGACATAATGGAAGAGGAAGACAAAGAGCAACAGACTGCCCTTGGCTTTTGGGTTGCACAGGGAGATTCTGCTTATCCAAGCCTCAAACCTATTGCCTTAGATCTTCTGGCCATGCCAGCATCTCAAGCGTTTGCTGAGCGAGTCTTAAGTGTCACAGGGGACCTCAGTCATGGCCTTCGCAATAGAGCCAGAGTCATTCTAGAGAGAAGTGCTTTCCTCAAACTGAACCGGTAGACACATTTTTATAACAATAGGTACTGTACAGTATCCTACTGTTTTGCACTGTCTGTACTGTACTTCAACTGCACTTGGCGCCTCTGATTGTTTTTGCAGTGAGATGCAAAAAAAGGAGCTCCTCTGATGTTTTGTTACTGTTTTGTCCTCATAAGGAACACAAAAGTGTTTTTGCGACTGTCAGGTTGCAAGTTATATGAAAAGCTCCACTGGCTGTCTGTCAGTAAGGGTAAAAGGGTTCCAATTTTGCGTTAAATTGTTCAAGGAACATAGCCCTGCACCTCAGCATGTTTTATTTTTATTGTTTTATTTATCTTTTGAGTAAATGTACTTGTCCAAACATATCTGTTCATGTCACTGATTGCACTTTGCACTCTGATGGTTCTTGGAAATAAAACCAAAGAAATAATCTTTTGTCTCTTAACTTCTAGAGTATAATATACATTGATTCCACTCAATTGGGAAGTCAGAGCTATCAATCTGCTGGTGGTAAGTATCAGTGTATCATTAGTTCATTCCATATCCGTTTTAGAATCCAAAATCGGAAAACAGACTCCCGGGTCACAACACAACACAGACTCCTGGGTCACAACACATTGAAAATGATACAAACCAAAAATGAATAAAAAAAATCCCATGATAATTCCGTTCTCTCATATTCTATTTTTTATTTCAAAACAAAATCAAAACAGCAAAAAATAGGCTGTTATTTGTTTTCCGATTTTTTATTTAAAAACAAGAAATGAAATAACATGTCTTTATCCGTTTTCCGATTTTGGATTCTAAAACGGATATGGAATGAACAAATGATACACTGATAGAACGAATGATACACTGATAGGTAAGGAATGTAGTTATTTTACAAAGGGCTTATGCAAATTAACTGCTTTATTAATTCAATAATAATTGCACTATATACGACCTGTAAACTTTGATTCAATGTAAATTTGGCCTTCTTGAAAAACATATTTTTGACTAAATCTATTGACAAAACCTTGACTAAAACCTTTTGTGATTTTGTTGACTAAAAACTGACTAAAACCTATTGCGTTTTAGTCGACTAAAACTAGACTAAAACCATCAAGGATACAAAATGACTAAAATGTGACTGAAACCAACAAGCATTTCATCCAAAAGACTAAGACTAAGACTAAATCTGAAATGCATGCCAAAAACAACACTGCTGCTGAGCGAGGTAACTTTGAGGGTAAATTCGGGGTTTCCTGTTCTACAACGCCGCTGAACGGCTAACCTGCTCCAGGGCAGGTTAGGTTTCAGATTGAACTCACTGAGTATAAAAACCTCGCCCACTGACCAATGAGCTCTCTCGATAAATGGCTTGTCCGTTCTTGGAGGATCCTATAGACCTCGGTGCTCGCATTGTCTGAGGAGCACTCCGGCGCGCGAGAGTTTTCAGGGACCGCACGGACCCACTTACTTTTCCGGATGACCACCTTTATGAAAGGCTCATTTGGCCTACATATCACACAAAAAATGTAAACATGATAGGAATGAACAAATGAATGAATTCATCTTGGAAATGAATTAGACATGGTGCATGTTAAAAGTGCATGTTGAACAGTGCTATTCCAGGGTGATAATGGCATCAAAGATTTTTTGCGCACTATACTTACGCATTGAGACTGTTGGCAATTTTCTGCCAGCATTTCTTACGTGCTTTTGTAGCGGCGATGGTGTTGCTTTTGAGTTTTATGATAGATTTTAATTCTTCATACTTTCTCATGATCGTCTCCTGCTCCTCGTTTGTAAAGTACGCGGTCCTTCGCTCTCCGGTCTGCTCTGACGCTCCAGACTGGTCCATGTTCGCGATTTGTCAGATGTGGCGGGCTCCGCCTTACATGCCTGCACGTGCTCATAGCAGAGGTGGATCCACTTACGAGGTTGCTAACCAGCATCGTAAGACCGTTTAGCGAGACCGCTGGCTAGCGCACTAAGTTGAGCGAGGTAGCTCCAAGGCTACCTGGTAAAATGTGTGCCCCTTCACACTTTCTTCACAAATCCTGCCCCTGATAGTGTTTTGCAGATAGTCCACTGTAGTTGCAAGACAACCAAATGTGAGACTGAACAATGTTCTATTATGTTTTTATTATTTTTATATTTGTTCTACATTTGTCTGCGTTTATGTTTTGATCTTTATTTTCATGTTCTGGATGGATTGATAAATGTCAGATGTTTTGACACTGTAAATAAATATTTTGTACCATATTTTGAATTAATTCAGACCTTTTGTGCATTTATTTTTGTCTTGTTACATTTTTTCCATTATTCCAATTTTGGGGGGCGTGGTAGCAATTTGATTGACTTTCAGCCATTTATGGCCATGATGTGCTGTTTAAATTTTATTGCTTTTATTTACAGTAGGTTGTGTCATTTTTATGTATGAAACATAAGCTTTTAGCTAAATTTACTGTATATATTTCATTGTGCTGGGTGCAAATCACTTGAGTTGAGAGGTTTTCTTCAAGAAATTTGCTACATTTCATAATCTGAATTCACTTATGTTAGGTAGATGTTAGGTAGATGTATTTATGACATTTGAGAAAGATTTTGTCTTGCCAGAACCAACATAGCAGTTTCTGCAAGCAAAAACAGCAGCACCATATAATTGTTTTTTGAGTTACTCACATATATGTAAATTTCTGGCTGGTGACAAAAGTCGGACAGATAGTCTGAGTAGATATTTTAACCCAAAGTCCAGAATGGTATTGTCTATGCAAAAATGCATTGAACAAGTAGCACCAGCGTAGTTGTACGAAATTCACTTTCTAGGCACTTTTTCCTTTGTCCTAATACAGCCTATGACCTCGAGCGAAGTTTTTTTTCACGGAGTTTCAGATGCCATGGACGTGGATGCATCGGCGATGCTGGCTGTAGGGTTTGAGTGACCCGTGGCTGCATCACGTTCTTGTTTCTCAAACGCCTTTTGCAAATAAATCGCTGGTAGCACGTCATGTGAAACCCAGCGTCATCAGGAACATTGTCAAAGTCGATATCAACGAAATGTTTATAAGTTTCTGCAAGGTCCTTTGTCTCACCCTGTAGAGAAAGCCACTTTCTAATACTAATTCTGTAAGTTTCCCAACGTGTCCTTGTAAAGTCGGGAACGTCTTCACTCTGGACAGATGATAGATGCATATAGCATTTTATGCACTTTTGAAGGCTGTTCTCTTTTTTTCCTTTTCTTTTCTTCCTCTTCTCTTGTCTAGCTGCTAGATGCGCTCGTCGCCATGTTTGTGTATTTCTGACACTATGGCAACGAGACTCGGTTCCTATTGGTCCACATGACAAAACTCGCTTCACCCCTCTGCATATTGGATTGCGTGTGTGCAAGTATCACTACGTCGCAGAAAGGAAATAGTTCGACACCGAAACACTGATTCCTAAAAATCGACCGGATGGCATGAGTAGATATTTATTTTAGTACTTACTATCAATAGAGCTATTTTATGAATCACCTTTATGTTGCCCCACTGAAGTGGAATGAGATTCACTTTCTTGGCCCTTTTTCCTCTGTCCTAATACAGCCTAAAGCGGAAGTCACAGACTCTTTCCACACAGGTCCCATCAATGAGAACGGGCTGTGTTCGGGAGGAGCAGATTATTGTTTCTGCACCACACTGTCAGCTGTTGCACTTCCTCACGGTAGGCGGACTCATCCCCTCCAGTGATGCAGCCCACCACTGTGGTGTCATCCGCATACTTAATGAAGGTGTTGCTGGCATGAATAGGGGAGCAGTCTGTGTGTAAAGGGTGAAAAGCAGAGGGCTCAGCATGCAACCTTGGGGGGGAACTGTGCTGAGTGTGAGAACTGTGGAGGTATGGGGGCCAATCCTAACCCTTTGTGGGTGGTTTGACAGGAAATCCTTAAACCAAAAACCTGTGGAGTTAGGTGGTCCGAGGTTCAGCAGTTTCCTCACAAGATCGTGGGGTAGGATGGTATTGAAAGCTGAGCTTTAATCCACAAAGAGAAGGCAAGCATAGTTCCCCTGCTTCTCTAAGTGGGTAAGCACTGTATGTAGCGTTGCATTCATAGTACCAGTTTCTCAAAGCACTTCATCACCACAGGTGTGAGTGCAACCGGCCGGTAGTTGTTGAGGCTGGTTTCAGGCGATTTCTTGGGCAGGGGCACAACAGTGGAGGTCTTCAGGCAGGATGGAACTCTGGACTGCATCAGGGGCAGTTTGAAGATCCTGTTGAGGATCCCTGCCAGCTGGTTTGCACACTCTCTCAGCACCCGTCTGCAGAGGCCATCGGGGCCCACTGCCTTGTGTGGGTTGACAGCCCTCAGTGTTTGCCTCACCTCGTGCTCCTCCATCGTGAGGGTGGGACTGCTCCCAGCCACCGGTGGGGGTGTGGCTGCTCCTGATGGTTTGGTCTCAAAGCGGGCAAAGAAGTTGAGTTCCTCTGCCAGTGCTGTGTCACCCTCGGCAGCACCGATGCTGGATTTGTAGTTGGTGAGGTGTTGGACAGCCATCCATGCCTTCCTGCTATTGTTATTGTTCAGATGGTTGTCAGTCTTCCTGCTTAAGTCCCCCTTGGCCTTCTTAATACCTCTCTTCAGGTTGGCGTGGGCTGTGCTGTAGAGAGTCATGTCGCTAGATTTGAAGGGAGTGTTTCTCTCCCTCAGCAGCTGTGTCACCTTACTGGTCATCCAGGGTTTCCGATTTGGAAAGACTGGGATGCGTTTTTCCACTGTGATCATGTCTGTGCATTTCTTGATGTAGCACAATACAGTGTCCAGGGTTGACCAAAGGTTGAACAAGTAGGTCTTTAGCTTTGCTGTAAAAACATGCACAGAGCATACCAGACTTATTTCCACAGGAAGAGCATTTCCTAGCGTCGGTCCCAAAAGGAAAAAAACTGGCTTCACTACAGTCCTTTTCTTGACCTTAAGTACAACCAAAAGGCCAGTCCCCAGAGAACAGAGGATACAGGAAGGTGCAAATCTATTAAAATCAGCTCGAACCTGACAAGGTAGCCAATACAGAGAGACCAGCACCAG